GGGGTGGGGGCGGGGGCACGTCCTGCAGGGGCCCTGCCCCTCCCTCCCATGCACTATCCTGGCACCGTTGTGGGTTGTGGGTTGCTGGTTTCCACGTGAGTCAACATCCGTGCACTGCGCTCTTTTTGGTTCCCGATGAGGCGGAACTTCCTCACGTCTCTCACTCTGTGCTGTGAGGAATCCAATCTGCCCGTCTATCTGTGCAGACGGTGGAATTTTTCTTAAAATTAGAATGGATGAGGTTTTGAATAAATGTGGGGAAACTGAGGGATTTAGGAGTCAATGCAGGTAACAATCCAGCCCCTTTCTCTTCACAGGCCCCTGGGGATTTTGCTCTGTCTCTGCTTCCCTGGGAGGGGGGTGGGGAGAGCCAGCCTCTGCGAAGAGGTACCTCTCGCTTCCGGCTGCCGGCCTCTGCTGTTCTGCTCCCGAGGGCCCCTTCCGTCTGTCCCTGGCATGAGGGACAAATAGGGAGCCTGATGCTGACCTGGTGGGTCTGGCCGGCGCTCGCTGACCCTCTCTAGTGCTAGTGGTCCACTGAGACTGCAGGCTCGTCCTCTTCCACTGTCCTGAGGATTTGTTCACAAGGCAGCGTTTTGCTCCCTGTCTCCTCAATCAGGCCTTGAAACCTCGAGCAGAATGCGTGATGCCTGAACCGACCCCTGTACCCCTCCTGGGGCCCCGCGGGAATCTGCTGGTGCTTCAGAGCATCAGCCCTCGTGCCCAGACCAGCATGCAGGCATTCCTGTGTGTGGACGCCTCTCTCCAAGGGCGTCAGCGCGGTGTTACTGGGCCCTCGGGTTCCCACCAGGTAGGGTCGTGCTGCCCCCAGCTCACCTTTAACCTGCACGGGCAGGGGGCCAGGCGTGGGCAGGGCCCAAGGCCCACTCAGGGTGCGAGGCTTCTGCAGCCGCACTCACGTGCCGGGCCCAGCCCGGGGAAGGCCTGGCTCTTCCCCGGGAGGAGGGTGGGACCGCGGGGTGGGAAGGGAAGTGGAGTATGCGGACGGCGTCCGCGTGCAGATCTCCTCTTTCGGGGGCTTTGAACTTGGACTTGGAGGCTACGTCTTTGTCGCTTGCTTCCACCAGGCAGAGCAAACGCTGCCCGCGTTGGCGTGGTCTCTGGGCTCAGAGGAGAGGGAACAACACAGCCATCTCTGTTTCATGATCCAGACATTTTATTGATGATAGCAGTGGCCTTTGTCACCCGGAATGAGAGCAACCAGCCTGCAGGGGAGGGCTCCAGGGTGCAGCAGCCCCCCCACCCCCCCATTGAGAGACCTGTCTTTGCAGAAAGGGAAGCCGGGCATGTCCGGATCCCCGGGAGGCAGCAGCTGTGCATCCACTGAGGGGCAGGGGCGTCCTGGCGCCCCCAGAGGGGTTCCGGGGCTCCTGAGAGAGGACGTCTGTGCTCTGGAGCAAAGATGGTAGCTCTAGAGGCAGAAGCTGGAGGCGGTCAGCAGGGCTGGCCAGAGACAGGGCCGCAGCAGGCGGGGCGGGAGCACACGGGGCGGCAGAGCAGGGATACACTGGAGGAGGGTTTGCAGCAGGGGCTGGGCTGGCAGCAGGAGGGGGCTGAGCAGGGGGAATCCTCGCAGCACACAGGGGTGCAGCACACGGGCTTGCAGCAGACAGGGGTGCAGCAGACGGGCTTGCAGCACACAGGGGTGCAGCAGACGGGCTTGCAGCACGCAGGGGTGCAGCAGTCTCCCTGGCAGGGGGAGGAGGTGCAGCAGGACGGCTGGCAGCATGAAGAGGTTGTGCAGGGGGAGTCCTCACAGCAGACAGGGGTGCAGCAGACGGACTTGCAGCACACAGGGGTGCAGCAGACGGGCTTGCAGCACACAGGGGTGCAGCAGACGGGCTTGCAGCACACAGGGGTGCAGCAGACGGGCTTGCAGCACGCAGGGGTGCAGCAGTCTCCCTGGCAGGGGGAGGAGGGGCCGCACAGGAGGGTCAGGCAGGGGGCCGGGGCGCAGCACGGGGGCTCGCAGCAGCTCTCTGGGCAGTCGTCCACCTGCCAGGAGGAGTCGGGGCAGGAGTCCGAGGCCCCAGGCAGGCAGATGCGGCTGCCATAGCTCAGGTCGCTGGAGCAGACGGACAGGGTGGACGCGGCCATGGCGGGGGCGGTGGGGCTGGAGGAGGGAGTGTGTGTGAGTGTGTGTGTGAGTGTGTGTGTGTGAGGAGCTCCGGCTGTCTGTCGGCTTTTATACCTCTCGGCTGTGTGTTGTCCCAGCCGACGGCTCACACGCCTCCTTCCTTGTTGGTCTGAGAGCTGCTTGCAGGGTAAGCCCTCATTAGCGCTGCTTTATTTTCTACGATTAGATTTTACTCAGTCGTCTTGTGAGTCGGTTGCAGGACGCTGTTTTTCTGTGTCCTTTGTTTGGCTCCAGAAATATTCGAGGCAGGTTTTGCTGGGTGACTGTCACGGTTTCTAACATCACACTCATGCCACCGCTCAGTGTGCGATCGACGTCCTCCCCCCCCGCCAGCCGCTCTGAGGGACAGACACCCAGGGCCCTTGCAGGCCAAGCCGTGAAGCGCCTACAAGGAATGTTAAGAGGGTAAGATGTGCACGAGAGAGTCAAACTTGACCACAGAACGCAGGCAATGTACATGCGCCGGGGACCCGAGAGAGTCGCGGGTGGGAAACGCAGGGAGTTGGCCCCGATCCGCCATCACCGGTGTCATTTCCGCCAAAACCCAAAGGGAATCTTCTCGGCATGCAAACCGAAGATACCCAACTGCCAGAAAATATTGGTGGTGTGCATGACGGATGAAAGATCAATACGGAATTTAAAAGTCCCCACAACCAAGGCAGGAGAAGGTACAAAAGAATCAAATACAACATTCAAAACACTCGAATTTCCAGTAAGCGTATGGAAAGCTATCTGAGCTCATTAATAAAGTTTCTTGAGTTAAAGCATAAATGTCCCACCTGTCAGATCAGCCAAAATATATAGTGTTGATAATCTCCAGTGCTGCTGAGTGTGGGGTCTCACTCCTAGAAATCCCTTAGCAGTTGTGGGGTGTGTGTGCGTGTGTGTGTATGTGTGTGTGTGTGTGTGTGAACACATAATATGAGATTTACCATTTAAATATATATATACATATATATACATTTTTTTTTTTTTAAGGAGAGAGAGAGCGTGCACGAGTGGTAGAGGGAGAGAGAGAGAATCTCAAGATGGCACCACACTCTGTGTGGAGCCCGACATGGGGCTTGATCCCACGACGCCAAGATCATGACCTGAGTCGAAACTAAGAGCCAGATGCTCAACCAACTGAGCCACCCAAGCACCCAAACATTTAACTGTTTTAAAATGTACAAGTCAGTGGCATTTAGCGGAGTCACAATGTTGTGCAACCCTGACCACCATCTACTTCCAGAACATTCTCATCAATCCAGAAGGAAATTCTGCACTATCTTGGAGCCCCCCTCCCAGCCCCCGTCAGTCACTAATCTGCTCTTTTCTCTATGGATTTGCCCGTTCCACACATTTCACAAACAAGAAATCCCGCAGCACATGGCCTCTTGTGTCTGGCTACTTTCACTGAAAATCATGTTCTCCAGGTTCGTCCGCGTTGTAGCAGGTGTCCGTGCTCCTCTCCTGTTCGTGGCTCAGTAATATTCCACCAAACAGGGAGACCACATTGTACTTACCCGTTCGCCAGTCAGTGGACATTTGGTTGTTTCCACCTCTTGGCTGTCGTGAACAGTGATGCTGTGGACATTTTTGTGCAAGTTTTTGTTGGAATAGCTCTTTTCAGTTCTCTTGGGCGTATATACCTAGCAGAGGGATTGCTGGGGCAGATGGTCACTCTGTGTCTACCTTTCAACGAACCGCCAGACCACTTTCCACCGCAGCCGCGCCATTTTACATTCCCAGCAGCGACGTGCGAGGCCCCAGTTCCTCCGTGGGCTCCCCAACACCGGTTCCATTGTGTTCGGCATGAAAAACATTGGAGCCATCCTAGTGGGCGTGAAGTGGCATCTTCTTGTGGTTTGGACGCGCATTTCCCCGATGACCAATGACACGGGGCGTCCTTTTGGGTGCTTGTTGGCCACCTGTGTATCTCCTTTGGAGAAATGTCCACCAAAGTGTCCAGCCCATCTTCAATCGGGTTGTACGTCTTTTTGTTGTTGAGCGACAGGAGTTACACATTCTGGACACTAGGCCTTCCTCAGAGTTAGGATTTGCAAATATCTTCCCCGTGCTGTGGATTGTCTTTTCACTCTCTTGATAGCGTCCTTTGATACATAAATCTTTTTTAATTTTGATGAAGTCCAGGGTGTCCACACATTTTTGTTGTTGTTGCCTGTGCTTTTGGTTTCATGTCGAAGAAACTGTCGCCAAATCTAAGGTCATGCAGATCTGCCCCTGTGTTTTATTTTTAGAATGTTATGATGTTAGCTCTTACATTTAGGCCTTTGATCCACTTTGAGCTGATTTTTGTATACGGTGTGAGATAGGGCTCGACTGTTGGTCTCTATCTATCATCTACCCATCTTAATGTAGAACAAAGGGAACACAAGATAATTGAAAAATTCTACAGTTCACCGATGGTTCTGTATTCCCTATTGTAATTCCAATTTCCCTCCCATGCAAGCAAACCCTTTACCCAGTAAGTTGGGTGTAGTGAAAGGGTGAGTGCAAATTAATAAAGACAGACCTCACTAAAATGGAGTAGGGGGCCGCGAAGGGGAGCTCTCAGCCCCACCACTCATCTTCCATTGCGAAGCCAACAGGAAGAGACACGCCCTGCCCTTAGCTACTTCGTTACAGGAGGAGGAAGGACGTCTCTCCCTCCCAGGGCAACAGCCCAGCCAATAACAAGCCACGACACCTCCAGCTCCCAGTTTACGCCAATGAGCTTTGTGCTTACAACACCCTCAGCCTCCCTTTCATCTACAAAAGAGCCTCCGCTCCTGCATTATCCAGACTTGCCCATGGCTTTGCCCTAGCTAACTTGTCTGAGACTGTAATTCTCTGCTATTCCCAAGTACGCCCGTCTTCTTTTGCTGGTAAAACAACTAGCAGTTTTATTTTTCAGGTTCACAAGTGAATAATAAGAAGTCATTGTTCATTGAATGGATAAATGCACGAAGTGCTTTAACCGGAGTGAGAGAACGTGTTTCTATGTCCTCACAACGTCCCCATAGGGACTGCGATCACTTTTTTGGGTATTTCTGACGCGTCATCTGTACAGGAGGGTAATGACGCCTGCTGTGGCCAATGTCGCTGGTGCTGCTCCCAGATGCCCTGTGACCCCGTCACCCACCACACCTGCGTGCTTCCCCTGGCTTCTGTGAGACAGCTTCTTGCAGCCACCCCCCCCCCCCCATCCCTGTCCTGGCTCTCCTGGGAGCATAGCCGTCACCACACATCTGACTGAGTCCGCAACGCCTGGGGCTTTATGCCCACCCACGCTGTGCCAGCCCCGGGCTGACAGGGACCAGCCCGGCTCCTTCCTATTGGCCTAGTTCACCTTCTTCTGCTTCCCCTCTCTGCCTTCCCCCTTCCTGGACGCTCTTCCTGAGTGCACCACTCTGTGCGCGCGTCCTTAGCTCAGGCTCGGCTCCCGGGAAGCCTGCTTCTCTCCCGGGGCCGTTATGGGCATGAAATGTGACAGCTCACGGAGAGCTCCATGCCTGCTGGGTGTCCTGTACGGGTGACAGGCGTCCCCACCCTCGCGGCCTGTGCCGCAGTCGTCTGACTGGCCTCCTGAACACCCACTGCCCCTGCTGTGCCCACCCCACGCCCAAGTGCCAAGTCCTGCCCACGACTCGACTTCCTGGACTCCCATTTCACCCAGAGCTTCCCCTTCGGGGGCTCGAATAACTTCACCTTCTTTCCAAAGCCTCCCGCGTCTCTCAGCACCGGCTGGCACCCCTCCTTTCTGAACCCTGACACCACCTGTCGCCTGTACCAAACTGTGTAGCTCATGATGGTGGATTGTCTTCGTTTTTTAAATTTATTTCAGGCGTGTGAATCTGGTCTGTCCCACGTGGTGTCACCCATTGAGTCAAGATAACGAACTCTTTTGCTGAGTCAAGGCCACATTCTAAGACCCTTGAAAGGGGGAGATGATCTTTCAGAACATGACATGTCAGCATGTACCTAGTCGGCCCCTGTTAGTTTTGCTGAGAGGTACATAAAATAACGGGGCGTCTTTACTATGGGTGAGACCTCAGTCTTGATTACCTGCGACCTAGGATGTGTGCGTGTGTGTGTGTGTGTGTGTGTGTGTTATTTTCTAGTACTTTCTCCCAAATGGGCCCACGGTGAGCATCAAACGCGCTGTGATGTGAATTACGTGATATCCTCAAGCTGCACCAAGATGCCCGGATGCCCGGAGCATCACCAGATTTCTGTTTGGGTTTCACGTGCAAATAAGAGTCCTTTCCTTAAGGCAAAAGCAGTCCCTTTTTTTCCAAACAGAAAAGGGAGACCTCAGTGAACCAAGCATTGAGCACCGATCGTATACAAACGCCAGGCCTGAAGCCAGCGATACAAATCCCCCGCCTGGCCCCGACTTCCTCAGCACCAACAGCCTGGTGGGGCTGCCCTGGATGGGGGGAGGGGAATAAGGGGGGGTTCTCTGCTGTTGAGAGTGGAATTAGTCCCAGCCTGTCTCCTCCACCTTCCACCCCCGGACTGTGCTAGGAGCAGTCAAGGTTGTGCACAGGAGTACTGGAAGTGAGAATTGCTGATGATAAGTAGGAGGGCAGATAAGAACATGCCCCTCCAATGACCGCCCTCAGGAGCCCCACGCGCCCTGTCCCATCTCGGGGCAGGGCACTTTTTCCCCTATACCTGTTGGCACCTGACTGCATCCAGTAGGCGTGAGAGAAAGACTCAGGTACCTGGAATGTAAATATTTGGGTTCAGGGTGACTGAGTTCATACCAACCCCTGTTATACCTCGTGTGCGTTCTTGTAAAACAGGAAGAAAAACAAAACACTTCGGTAAAAATAGTTCTGTCTTATGTGGAAACACCTCCCCACCACCATCCCCAACAGTACGTGGCCTTGTATCAGAGGCGGAAGAGGGTTTCCAACGAATTCTCTTGCTCCCCCTCCCCCCCCCACCCCTGGCCATGTTGCCAAGGGCACTTTTTCCGTGGCAGGCTTTCTGGGCAGGCTTCCCGGGAGCCCCCCCACCCCCGGCCATGTTGCCGCCTCAGCCGGGCGTGGAGACTAGATGAGGAAGAAACCTGAATTTAGAGTCAAGAACAAAGAAACGCAATCCAACAAACAGAAACTGAGGGCCAGAGAAGCAGAGATTTTGTCTCTTTGTCAGGCATCTCGCTGGTGGAGCCCACAGAACCACGGCCATGCCACACATCCGGCCACGTGTGGGGGTCCTGGGAGAGGTGGGACCTCACAGCATTTCAGCCTTCACTTCTCCTCCAGGGGGCTCCTGTGAGTGTCCTTGCCACGCAACTCCCGTGTCCTCGTCAGCAGCAATACAGGGACGGGCAGCACGTCCCCCCGACTTCAACCCTGGTCTCTTCTGATCACGTTATAAAGCCCCCCATACGAACCCTCGTTCCCCTGCAAATAACACGCACCCTGACTAACCCCGGCCCCGCTTGGGGACAGTGGCCCCACGGTGCCATCACACCCCCTTGCTCTCCCCATCTCCCTCCTCTATCACCCTTACCGCTGGCTTTTATTCCCCACATCATTGCTTCGTGATTACAAGGTGGCTGCTGTAGCTCCGGGCATTGCTCCCGTGGTTCAAGGAGAAAGAAAGAATGGGAGAAGGGGGATGGTGTCTGTTCCAGGGAAGTAAAGTTTCCCCAGAAGCCGTAGCAGGTTTGCCAGAAGGTTCCTACGGCCACCTCTAGCTTCGGAGAGTCTGGAGAGCTGACTCCTTTTACCTGGGCGCCTTATCTGCCCTGTTAGTTAGGACGTGGGGGGTTGGATATTGGGCTGGCAGCCAGCGGCGTCCGCCCTGGTGGGTAAGTGAGGAAGGCAGAATCTCTGTCCAGTGCGGGGGGGAGGGCATATGCTTTAAAAAACAGGAAATCCAGGGCAGGCACAGGTCAGCACACGCCATCAGGCCGTGTTTTCTCCGTGTCTTACGAAAATAGTCACACGGTCCTCCCGCTAAATTTCCCCCACTCTTCAGGGCAGGTTAATAGAATTTTCACCTAAAATAACGGAGGACGTTGGATGCCGGTGCATTTGTTGGAGTGGTCTGGAGAATTCTGTGTGCCCGAGAGCTCTCTCTGGACCGTGTGGGAGGGTTCTTGATAGGGCAGAAGGTCTGAGAGCGCCCGTGGCCCCCCACGTGCCCCTCAGGCCCGTCCCACCTGCTCTAGCCTGCTTAGCGGGATTTTCAGTTCAGATACTGGCTTTCTTTATTTTATTTTTTTAATTTTTTTAATGTTTATTTTTGAGAGAGAGAGAGACAGAGAGGCAGTGCGAGTGGGAGAGGAGCAGAGAGAGAGGGAGACAGAATCCGAAGCAGGCTCCAGGCTCCCAGCTGTCAGCAGGGAGCCCGAGGCAGGGCTCGAACTCAGGGGCTGTGAGATCTTGACCTGAGCCGAAGTCGGATGCTCCACCGACTGAGCCCCCCAGGCGCCCCTGGATACCGGCTTTCTGACCACAGTCAGGGCGGAAACCCAGTGCCCCTCAGAGCAACATCATTCTGGATCCAAGTTCCCTGACCCATTTTTCCCCCGAAAGGTAAACCTAAATCCAGGGGTGTTTACTGTTAGAAAACAAACATGCGAGAAAAAAGTGGCAAATATTGACCCAGCCCTGGCAGTGCGTTGGGCACGGCCCCACGGGCTCACCATGGCCACGAGGAAGCCGTTACAATCCCCATGCACACAGGCAAAACAAAGTTGTCTCTGATCTCCGGTGGAGACTGGGGTCCGCAGCCTCCCGGGGCCCAGTTCACACCCGTGCACGTTCCCCAGAGTCCCACCCAGGACTGCCATCACCTGCATCCGCCAGCAGCGTCTCTGGGTCTGAGGTCCCTGGCCCTGTACACCCTGGTGGACCCTCCTGCCAGACGCCCCTGCCAGTGCCTGCTCCTCGGCCCCGAACTCGCAGCTTGCGGACCCGCAGAGAACCGCACGGCGTGGTCACCTCCCCTGGGGCTCCCGCTCCAGTCCTGCCTCGGCCCGTGTCTGGGGAGATGGGTGCTCCCCTGGACCCGTAAGGAAATCAACAGAGAAGCCAGGGACAACAGGCCTTTCGTCCAGTGTCGTTGATGGGAGGGAGGGAGGCCCCAGGTCAGGCTCTGGGGACAGCGGAAGACCCGGGAGGACACGAGCAAACAGACATGGAGCTCGGGGTGAGTGTGGGGGAGGGCAGGGTGCCGCTGGCAGGCAGTAAGGTCGCCGTTCCCCCATCCAGGCCCAGCTCCTGGTCCCCTGTGGGCTGGGAGGTGTGGACGGCCTGTTGCTGCTCTGCAGAATGTTCCCCGGGGTGGGCCAGGCTCCTTCCATCCAGGGAGTCCCCTCACGGACGCCACCCCCAGCCCTCACCACCCTGCCTCCGGCTCGTGTCCCCCCATCCTCTGTGAGGGTCTGGGCTCGAGACCCCCCCAGATGTGGCCTGCTCCCTGGAGGTCAAGCACACCCAAGATTCAAGGCCCTGGGGAGGGCGGGGCAAACGCCTCTGACGACCAGGCAGTGGGGGCCTTGTGGACAGCCTGCATTCGGCTGAGGACTTGGTTGGCAGGGAGCGGATGCTGGGGCCCAGTCGCAGCCCTGACTCCCTCCCTCCACGGCTGTCTTCGCCCGCTGGCCTGGGTCCACCTTTTATCTTTGCCCGCCGTGGATATCTGCCAGCCCGCCAGCCCTCAGAACCAGGTAAACGAGGAATAAAACGAGGCACAGCCCTGTGGCTGGCCCCGGGGAGCCAGGCACATCCCCAGAGTGCCAGGCAGAGCAGGCCACGGGCGGGTGCCACGCAGCCCTCTCCCCTGACCAGAAAGTACACACCGGCCGCTGGCCCTCGGGCGACCTGTCCCGGCACCCATCACAGCCTCTGGGACGTGGTTCCTCAGTGATTGCAGACATCACCCCGTGGGGTTCCGCCCGACGTCAGGAATGATGCAGAGCCTTGCCCCTTGCGACTCTGGTTTGGGGACGTATAGGTGCTTTCTGACTCCCCGTGATTCCGTATTGGTGGCTGTGTCCCCGGGCCACAGGTCAGGGGAGCACCAGCTGACGGTGTGGAGAGAGCTGTCCCATAAGGCCCGGCCACATTCCACTTTCCTGGTCCCAGACGACTTTCAGCAAAGCCTGCCCCTGACTCACACAGGACGCAGAACACATTTGCACCCATCGGCTCCGTGGCTGTGTCCCCCCCGGGTGGACAGTGTGCTCTGTCTGGTGTGCACCTGGGGGAGTCACTGGGCCGG